GACATTAATAAAAACGCCCCTTGCGGGAACATCATCTCGAAACACACACAGATAGTGATCACCATCATCATCATCATCATCATCATCATCATCATCATCATCATCATCATCATCATCATCATCATCATCATTATGCAAGAAGTTAGCAATTCTTAGCATGTGCCTGCATGCAGCTTCGAGCTCTGCGCACACAGCTCTCTCAGCCCCTCTCTCCGAAAACAACCCCCCTCCCTCCCACAAGAGTGTAACTTTTAGGGTTCTATTTGTTCTATTTTGCCCTCGCGAATTTATTATGAAAACGCCCCATGCCATCCTCATCACCTTAGAAGCAGTATCGCTGATTGGACCGAATGCTGGCCATCCCGAAGATCACACGTACAACATGTACGGCACCGTACAGACTCTCCCCCACTCACTCTAAAATCCTTCACCTTTATCAGGGGTGGCTGCTTCAATTCGATATTCCCTCTTCACTTGAATGCACAGGAAGCTGGTAGCGACCCATGGGTCCATGTCGTTCATCGGCATCTCGTGGTGGCGCCGGCAGGTGATTGGGTTAGGACTACCCACCCACCCAATCTGGACCTAAACTACTCCCGTCCCTCCTCCAGGCTAGTTTCCACGTCCCCCTGCGTCAGCAGACCCGTGGGTCTGCTGCCTGATGGATCTTGGAGCGGAACACGAGGCATTATGGCTCGGTCTGTAGCCGCCCGTCTGACAGCAGCGCCTGCACTCGAGCTGCTACCGCCTGCTGCTCAGTCCGCAGCACCAGGGACCGACGATGCGTCTTTGGCACTGCTGCAGAGACCACCGGTACTACTGCTGCTGCTGCTGCTGCGGCGGAACCGGCTGGACCTTGAGCTGTATGTAGCTGCTGGTCTTCTAGGTCGGTCGCGGCCGCCGCCGCCACCGCCGCCGCCGGTCCCCCCAGCTGTGAGGGCAGCCGCGGTGAAGGTCCGGATTTGGCGGCGGGGCGGCAGAGGAGCAGCTCTACCGGCTCCGGAAGGCCCTGAGCGGCG